TAGTTAAATGTTTTTCAAGATCATGTCAAATTACTTTATTTTGATTAGACTCTATTAGCAAACTGATGTTTAGTCATCCTCTGAGTCATCTATTCAGTCTATTGTCTCTATTGTTTTGTGGTGCCCCATTCAGTGTCAGTCTCCCCTGTACACATTCACACCTCTCCAGACTGGTTATTATGGATCTAAATATGCATTTCTTTTGTCTGCATTATAGCTACTAACGACTGGCTATTCACAGGCTATTCATAGGGTTTCAAACCCTAATTTCTTTTATCAAAATTCTCACTAAATATTTGAAACTGGTATCAAATGCACTGAAACATTTCAGTAAGCATTCCTATTTAGAAAAAAATCATAAAACAATAACTGCTCGTGGCAGGTGCGCCTGGGCTCGCTAGCATGTTAGCTTAGCACACCATCAATACACGACCATTTATGAGATTAAAATTATGTTTGTGCTCCAAACTTACTATATAACGCAAGTCTAGTGTTTTAAATAATCTTCTGTGATCTAACTTGGCTTCATATTAAAAAAAAATCCGACAGAAAATGTATTATTTAGTGTTCTGAACGATGATGAAATCTATATCGATTAGCATTACATTATAAATATAATCTATTATTATGAAATACCTGGCATGGCTTGAAGAACACAGGTAACTCAAATATCATTGCAATCATGTTTATTGTTTTCAAAACATCTTTATCTGCATGTTACAGCGATCTCTGTCAGCTACTTTCTGTATCACTCAGTGACGTCCTGGAATGTCACATGACTATGGGTCTTCTTCATGATCCATATATGGACTTTTATTGGACATAATAGCGCCCCCATGCCATTGGTATGAATGGAAAACACAGCACATCTCAGTAAGAAGCGATCATAACTTACATCGACGCATTTGGGTATAAATTCAATAAATATTATTCCTGTCTATAGAAATATGATGTGAATCTATGAGAATATATCAATATTTCTCCACATCTGCACATTGTTGAGCTAAAAGCCCTCAGGGACGTTGTTTTGTGAATCGCTGTCATGACGACAGCACGGAGTGTTTTTTATGAATGGACCAGCTGACGCTCATAATTCATATTAAAGGTATCGACTCATTGTTTTCATTTCATAACTCCTGACACAAATTAAGACATAACTGTCACTATAAGTTTCTCAGAATACAATAGTGGTCAAATACTGAATCTTGAGGCTTATATCTTTTTAATGATGTATAGTTTGTCAAGGTATAACATTAAATCTGATAGTATATTTGAACTAAATAAAAAAAAAAACGCTTCAGTGCGCCGACGCTCTGGAGACGGTTAAGAGGTTAAAATATAAATTAAGTTCTCAAGCGCACTCATAAAGCTTGTATACTGAACTGATAGAGTCAGTCTGTGCTGAATTTGAATGCTTCTCACTAGATCTCGCAGTAATGTCAAACGCTTTCTCACTGGATCTCTCAGCACTGTTAAGTAACGTTGTTGTGTGACGAGATCGCACCGCTCTCTCTAATATTTGTCCGATCTGATAAACTGTCTGCGCTGCGCAGCTCAAACGAGAACGCGTGCTTTCGTTTTGTTTGCAGTTTGATGTTTTTCATATGCAACAGAAATGGCAGCTATATACAGTATCTCTAGTCTATATAGATCATTCGGCAGCCCTAAAAAATGTTTAAGTAACATGAAGATTGATCTTATCAGAGAGCGCACTTGATTCTCAAGTTTTCCTTGTCAGTATGTAGGTGCAAGTGAGAGTCTTTACCAAAAAGCCAAAAAGGGACTAAAATTAATAATGTACTTATTAATCCAACATACTACATTTCTAGAATAGTGTTTTTCTTATTCGAATGCATGTGGTTCTAGCTAGCCGACAATACATACTGATGCTGGAGACAAGTTGATTTTCACCTGGTAATACATGCAAACAATATCATTGGCTTCTGAGTGGAGTGAGCCATATGTGTTGACAGAGTGTCCATATCCATCTGTTCTGTAAGGGGGAGGTGTGAGAACCTATATTTATAGCCTCCCCTCATTACCCAAGAATCCAATCAGTTCTGCCTGTGTTTTAAGGGCTGCTCGTTAGAAGGGAGTGAAAGCTCTTCCTGGGTGTGCTTTACAGGATGATGTGAACTTCTCAGCGGGGCTTCACATGGCAATTTCGCTAACTGGCAAACAGGTTTCAGCACTGTTGCGATCGCTAACTCTCAATGCATTTTTAGCCTATACAGAATAGAAAGCTTAACATATTTTCTCCACACCTGGTGGGTGTCTAACTGTGAGCTAGTGGGAGTTAAGTAAGGGATAATATACTGTCAGTGTACAGTCATTATCGCAAAATACTCCGGCAGGGTTTATTTTATGATAGCGAGCAGCTAACCCTACACTGTAAAAATATTATATCATCAGTAATTATGACAACAAATGTTTTTACATAGCTTCAACTCATCAAAATAAGTTACACAATGTTCAACTTTTTTCTAAGTTATACAAGAATCAACAATTTTTTTTAAGTCAGTTTAATGTAATTTAAGTTTAAATGACTTAAACATTCAAGTTGATTGTGCGTAAAAATTTAAGGCAGCAACTTTTTTTAAGTGTATGTGGCTACTCAGCAAATAAATAAATGGACATGAAATGTTGATTATAATTTATTAGCTTTTTATTATTTTTATTAGCTTTTTATTATTTTAAAATTAAATGAGGTCCCTCTCCTCCCCTGCACCGTCCATCATCTCCCGTGTTTCCTCTCCATCATGTACATCTCTGTTGGTGGCGTTGTTTGTGAAAATGTACATGTCAATTTTCGTCTACTAACTATCATCGCTTGGATTACAACTTCACATGCCTGCACGTTGAATGTGATTTTTCTCCAATGAGTGGGAGGAGGGGGCGGGATGTGGGAGGATGAATTACACTACAGCACTTTTATTATTGTGCTGATTGGCTATACCTGAGCGGACAGTGTCAATCAATGTATTGGAGAAAACAGTGACCATAAATGTAAAGAAACAAAGTTTATGGTAAATTCGTTATGAAGAAACGAATAAGCCCCAAAAAAAACATGGTTCGTGATTTTTATTTAACAAGATTTAGCAAAAAAAAGAAGCCCAAAGTCACGTATCATAAGCAGACTTGGCAACTCCGATCACAATCTCAAAAGTTTGGGGTCAATAAGATTACTTTTTTTCTTTTTTTAAAAGAAATGAATACTTTTATTCATCAAGGGTGCATTAAATTGATCAAAAGTGACAGTAAAGACATTTATCATTTTATGATTTCACAAAATAAGATTTTTTTTTTATATATATATATATATAATTTAGTGTGATTACAAAAAGTTTTACAGTTAACATTGTTGGGGGGGGGGGGGGGGGTGTTCGCGATTGATTTTTGATTAGTGACGCACCAGGTAATACCCACATCAGTTCTAAATAATAACACAAACAATTCTAACATTCTAAACATGAGATCTCAAGCAGAAAATGCTACATCAAAATGACGATTATCAGTTAGTATTACATTTTGGGAAGATGTCAATCCCAATGTGGGATTATTTACCACTCTGTACCTCTGGTGTACCTACTTCCTCTTGAATTAAATCAGTAGTCACCGTTAGGAATGGAACCCTTGGTCTTATGCATTGGAAGAGAAAGAGCTGAAAAGATTCCTCACTTTTCTGAGAGCATTATATTGAGCACACGCTGATTCAGAGTCAGGTGCTCTATGCGCACGACGTCAGCCACTGCAGTACGCTGTGTGTGTGAGTCACACTTGTTTTATTCCGCTGTAGCTGTGTACGTGTCCACGCATTGACACGCAGTCACATTCTCATGCATCATCCGCTCACGGGGCATTGCCATGGTGTTCTCTTTTGTTTGCAAATCAACCCGACACTAGCCCACATATGCATATTTTCCTTTTTTTCACAGAGGAATAGACTCACATAGCAGCTGCGGTCTGCAGATCTGTGCAGCACATTGTGTTCGGTGCTTCCTTCTGTAGGCAGTTCATCAAAAGGCTTCTTTCTGAGTCACGAGTCCCAACGAAAGCTGTTGTTTTCTGAATGGAAGCCGGGCAGTGCTCCCAAAGAAGCCACTTCATTCATGTCAGTGTTTGTAAATTAGCAACAGGGGTCGTTGTTATTTTATTGCTTTCGATAATCTGGCTTGCATTAGTTCTAAATTGGCCGTGTAGCAGCTAGCCTGCAGAGCTAGCATTATGTAAGCTTGTGTCACTTTGTATTGCGGCGTCCCACTCTGCCTTTTTTTCCATCGTATCCTTCTCTATCTCTCTGTCTGTCACACGCACCCACCCTCCCCTGCGGTCACCTCGCCGATGATTGGCGGGTGACGTCATCAAGACTTTCATTGAGCATGCCAGCTCTGTTTTCAGTGGATAATCTGCATCACACCGGCGACCAACCCCCTCACTAAGCCGCTACTGTTGCTGTCAATCTCAGATCAGTCGAGCGAAGGTTTATTGCTGCCGACGCGTCAGCGTACTGCCGCACAGACCGCATGATGAATGCTAATGCTGCCAGCAGCAGTCAAGTCCAATCTGACGTGCCAACATGTGAAGGTGTTGTGCACAAATAGCAGATAATTCCCTCAGTTAAAATGGTCACCTGTTTTGTAATACTTTAAAGATGTGTAAAATGCAATCTTGCATTGTTTTTTGGGGGGTTAATTGGCATTATATGCATCATGAGACCTCCATTTATGTTTCTAGGTGTTATTTTATTGGACATTGGTACATTATGACATCTTATGACTGAAAATGCAATTCTTTGTATTTCATATCAAGTGCTGGACCTTCAAATCGAGCCTTTATTATTACACATTTCTTGTCTTGTGAATGATTTGTAAGTGCATGTTATTCTCACAATTATTCCTATTCTTGCATCAAAATGCAATAACTTTAGATAGGTTGTGAATGTCATTCCATGTTGTCTTTAACATCACTCTCTGTCATTCTCTATTGCTGTGTGTTCACAGGAGTGTTCCTCATTCCCTATGTGTTGTTCATATTTCTGGGAGGCATTCCGATATTCTTCCTGGAGATTGCGCTGGGTCAGTTTATGAAAGCTGGAAGCATCAATGTGTGGAACATTGCCCCTCTTTTTAAAGGTTTGCTCTACATCTTTATGCATTACCTTACTCTTTTAGTTATGATGCTTTTTTAGGGTATTCCTTAAAACATTGCACATGCATTCTTTATTTAATTTTAATTTTATAATATATATATTATCATTTGAATCCTATTATTATATTATATTATAAATTAAAATGGAACACATTAGAAATAGCTATTTTATGTGTAGTAATATTTTGTATTTAATAATATATAAATGATAAAAAAAATATTATATATAATACAATATTTTATATTTATATATAAAATATATAAATTATATTTATCAGATAAAATCTTATCGCCTAATATGATCTGTACATAATATATATATTACATAATATCTAGACTTATATATCTGATATATTTCAAAATGATATACATATTTTATCACAAAAAGGGTAAAAATACCATTCTGTAGTTGAAATCAAATTTGACTCTATTTACTGTCTGAATTCATGATTCATCAGTACATGTTATATAAGGGATACTGTTCACCTGAAGGGGTTTATTTTGAACTGATTCAAGTTAATTGCATTGCGAGTGCTGTTTCATGCTGTCTTTTACTGGTTTGTTTTAGGACTTGGCTTTGCCTCCATGGTCATTGTGTTCTTTTGTAACACGTACTACATCATGGTACTTGCCTGGGGTTTCTACTACTTAATAAAGTCCTTCAATTCCACGCTGCCCTGGTCCACCTGCGACAACCCATGGAACTCAGAGAACTGCATTGAGATCTTCCGCCACTCCGACTGCCACAACGGCACCATTGGCAACTCCACATTTGGCAACATGACGTGCGAAGAGCTTGCTAATGGGCGTTCACCTATTATTGAATTTTGGGAGTGAGTGATTGTTTTTTAAGCCATTCATTTCTCTCTGCAATATTTGAAATGCCTTTGATATCAGAACCACTCTTTAAGATTTATGTGTTTTTGTTGTTAAACTTGAACGGGCTTTTCTTACTTGGACATGTTGATTTACTGTTAATTAATCGCACATGGCAGAGCCGGTTAAACACATAATTCGCTCACTGCCTATAATGAACCTGTGGCATTACATTTGGTCACTTGGTGCTGCCTGTACAATCTGGATCTGTGTATGAGGTTTATGAATCTACAGGCATTTCATAATGGCTATGCAAGGTGAAATCTCAGATTTGGAAGGACATCTGTTCACAGTGCACATGGATTGACCGTTCAAAACGGCTCATGATTAGTTCAAGCTTCATATGAGTTAGGTAGTTACAAATTAAAATAAAACCTGCAATGAAGCAAAACTTTGTGAGTGCTATACAGTGCTTTCATTCATGAATGTTTATCTCCATTTCAGGAACAAGGTTCTGAACATCTCGGATGGGCTGGACCAGCCAGGCGAGATAAACTGGGAAATGGTGCTGTGTCTTATGGCCGTGTGGGTGATGGTTTACTTCTGTGTGTGGAAGGGGGTGAAGTCAACAGGAAAGGTGAGGACACTCTTTCTGTCTATCTTTCTTTCTTTAGTGCTTCTCATTACACGTGTGAACCTTGAAGACAGGTAAAAGCAGTCACATGGACAGCAGAGAATCAAATACCTGCACTGCATCTTAAGCTTGGTTACATAACAGTCAGAGCTCATTGTTTACTTGTATTAGGGAAGCTACTAGTTAAACTACAGTCAAGCTACTTTTTGGAAAAATTGCTAGCTACATTACAAGCTACTAACAATAACTAGCTAAAGAGATGATACATTTTTAAATACACACTACCATTCAAAAGTTTTGGGTCTGTTATGTATTATTTTTGAAAGAAATGAATGCTTTTATTCATCAAGGACGCATTAAATCGATCAAAACAATAAAGACATTTATAATGTTACAAAATATTTCTGTTTCATACAAACGCTGTTCTTTTGTACTTTCTATTGTTCTATTCATCAAAGAATCCTGAAAACAAAGTATCACAGTTTCCACGAAAATATTCATATAGGAAATGTTTCTTGAGCAGCAAATCAGCATATTAGAATGATTTCTGAAGGATCATGTGACACTGAAGACTGGAGTAATGATGCTGAAAATTTAGCTTTGCATCACACGAATGAATTACATTTTAAAATATATTAAAATAGTTATTTTAAATTGTAATAATATTTCACAATATTACTGTATTTTGATCACTGATTGAAGAAAGACATCAAATGCCTAGGGATTAAAATGTGTGATTTTCTTTTTTTATAAGTTCCAAACAAACCAATTCGCTAGTATGAATTGGACTTTCAAACGCTACAGTAATTGTTTCTTACTTTCTCTGTGCCACTGCTCACTAACAGCTCACTATGTTTTGGAACAGAGCATATATTCCTAGTAATTTCAGTGTAATTCAAACAGCCAGTTGAAACCAACATTTTTATCTTATCTGGATCTTTAATTAACTTGAATGCACTCTGCAGGTCATTTCATATGCTCTTATGTAATCTTACCGTGTTGTTATGCCTCACATAAATCATAAAAATATGATGTCAAAGACTGCATCTTATTTCATTTCCCTTGTTTAGCTCAAGTGCATGGTGACTTTCTTGTGTAACCTTGATATGCATAGCTCCACCCACTGCTGCTTTGTCACAGTAGTGCTGAAGTGAGGCAGAAAGGTAGCCATGGCAACATTATTTGCTATAGGGGTGTGGCGGGAAATATTACAAAGTGCCTTGTCAGGGAGGCACACTGAGATTGGTCGGTCACGAGCCGGTGTCTGCAGTGGGACGTGATAAGGTGCTCGTACAAATGGCCAACAGCCTATTCTCTCTCTGGGAGGCGGGTCATATGAGCCCTTAGTAATATAATAACTTCATTTTATTCCTGCTGCGTATTGCTGTGTAGAAGGTCATTCTCGTATTACAACATACCCCCGCTGTGTTACTCCTGTGTGTCCTCAAAGCAGGGTTTAATGTTTCTAGTAAAACAGTTAAGGAAGGTAAATACTGGAATTTAGGTTATCTAAACTTGTTTATTTAGTTAAATATTTAGTTGCCAATTTCAGAGTTTTTCATTGATGCAAAGGACACTGAGTAAAGCGTTGAGTCAAGCTCATTCAGACGACTGACGCACGCACACACACACACACACACACACACACACACACACACACACACACACACAATAAGCCAGTGTTACAGTGAGCTAATTGGCTATTTCAGAATCTGATTATTTATTGCGGGGCACAAATACTAAGCGGCAGATTACCCCAGATTCACGGGCCTCTTGGGAATTAGACCAGAGTTTGTATACTGACAGTATTTTTAGTTCAGATCTATTTCTGCATCTTTATAGACACTTGAAAGCGGCATGGACTGAATCTTAAAGTCTGAGCTGGTAACGGAGTTTTGGTAGAAGTGTTTGATTTAAACGGCTGTGCATCAGACAGCTATCTATTATTAAAATACAAATGTATAGTCCTGCAGTATTTACCAACCCTAAACTTTTGAATAGTATGGTATTGTACAGTTCCATTCAAAAGTTTAGTGTTGGTAAATTTCTTTATGTTTTTGAAAGAAGTCTTTTATGCTCACCACGACTGCATTACTTTGATCAAAAATACAGTAAAAAACAGGAATATTTTGCTAAATAAATTGCAATATAAAATAACTTTAATCATTTATTTGAATATATTTTTCAATGGAATTTATTCCTATGATGGCAAAGCTGAATTTGCACCAATTATTACTCCAGACATCAGTGTTACATGATTTCTTTATAAATAATCGTTATTGATCACTGCGTTTTAGAGGGGCATTTTTCATTTATATGTCAGGATTCATTATTGTTCTTGTCAGGACTACTAGAGATGACATGGTGCTTTGGACTGTGGACAGACAAAGATGTCAGAATGACGTGGAGAATTCAAAAAGCACGTACTATCCACAGCGCATCATAAACAGTGACCGTGTTTTCGTCGTAACTGGGCAGCATTGTACTTTTTGAGTTGAGCTCGCCTTCCTGAGGGAATTCAGGAGAGAGTTTTGAAAGAACAATGGAAGTCTCTGAAGAGCTGGGGCTGAGCGGAGTGCTTTAATGTGATGGGCTTGATCTAGAATGGCTGTCCTACTTTTATGTGTCTATGTGGAGCAATTACTGAAGACTGCCAGCCTCAGAAGACCATATAGTGTGAGCCAAGTCCATAAACCAGCAACACCTGGAATGAGCAGGTCTCATTTAAATGCTCCCTGATAACAATCCGTCTCATATTGTCAGAGTTCAAAGTTCACACCGTTTGGACCCAGCCACTGAATCAATAAACCTCTCCTTGCTAAAAAAAGAAAAGAAAATCAGCAATGATCTGATAACAGAAGGCAGTGAGACGTGCGGTACATACTTCTCAGCTTTATTCACATGATAGAATGCTCAGCATGTGACTAACACTGTCCTGGCTGAGACCTGAGAGAGATAAAGAGTATTTTAGAGATGCAACGCAGCAAATTCCCTGATATAAATCTACAGATAATATTGGCTTAAACTAGATTGTTATCTAGATTTTATGTGTCTTTCTACGATCAGTCTAGCAAATGCTCTTAAATGCACCTAAATGACTGCCAAAATCACTAGCAAACAAGGACGTTTATTGAAATAACAGTCAAAAACTTGATTTATATAAAATATATATTCTCATGCAACACTATTCTAGCATGTTGTGGGTGTTTTCAGGACGTTGCAAGGTCATTGCTAGGGTGTTTTGATAATTCTGATATTTTCGAGAAATTGTAGCATATCTCTGCTCAACAAACACGACTTGAGGGTCACGGCTGTTCCACATGCGATGCAGGATGAGTTTGTGGCAAAGTGTAATGCTTATGTTTCAAATACCCTATTAAAATATTAGCAATATTAATAGTAATAGCCTTAGCAAATGCAGGCTAAAACCTTAAGCAGGAAGTTATGGGTAATGTTCTCTCCTCCAGCTTTATATATACATTGAACATATGCGATTTTTTTATTTCAACCTGGACATTTTTAGGATTTTAAAAAATGTATTACATAAAAGTCTGGCTTTTTTTTTTTTAAACCTAATTTTAATGAAGATTCTGCACTATTTTTAAAATCCTTAATAAAAACGAGACCAATCAAATTGGGTACTATGATGTTTTGTGGCAAAGTTTAATGATTATGCTGGAAATACCCCACTAAAGTATTAGCAATATTAACAGTAATAGCCTTAGCAAATGCAAATAATAAGTTAATAAGCTAGGCGAGTTATATGCAATGAAAACAGTTAAAATGACTGTGTGTCTTTATTTTTTGTTTTTCACAGATTGTGTATGTCACTGCCACGTTCCCATATGTGGTCCTGATTATTCTCCTGGTGAGGGGCGTTACTCTTCCTGGAGCTTATGATGGGATCTTGTACTATGTCAAACCTGATTGGTCTAAGCTAGGAGAGGCACAGGTGAGACTTTTAGTTTTCTCCTTTAGCTTCATACCTCTCTTTGGATGAAATCGTCTGCTTTTACCCAAATGAATAATACGCTTCACTCTTTCTTACTTTTCTCCCTCTACTATAGGTCTGACACACAATACTTTAATTCTGTTTCTAAGCACTTTTCAACTTGACTTTTATGTCTCTCTCCAGAGTACCTGGAGTCACTTTGAGCTCATATTCAGTGGATCTGTTTGTCTGACTGCCATTACTCTTTCTGTGTCTCTCAGGTCTGGATCGATGCCGGTACTCAAATCTTTTTCTCCTACGCTATCGGGCTCGGAGCCCTCACCGCCTTGGGCAGCTATAACAGATTCAACAATGACTGCTATAAGTAAGCCTCCATCACAGCCTTGAAGAGACAAGGACACATTTTGTTATGCCGCCTTGCGATCTTTCTGAACCAGTGTGTTTTCTTTTCGAAAGACGTTGTGTCTAGTACGTTCACCCAATCAGAGAGCCCTGACCTTGTGCTATAAGAAGCTGGATTGTGTGGCTGGCAAAGAGCAAAGAGCCTCTCACTTTAATAGATCTCAAATTTCCAGATGCACTGAATCAGCAGTTCTTTCCTTTGACTTTAATGTACAAAGCACTTTAGCAGGATATATATATATATGCATTCAAAATCTGCGATTTTCTTTTTTTAATCCTGAAAATTCAATAAAAAATAGTGAACAAACAAAGTTTGGTAAGAAGTGGAATTTATTTTAAAGAAGATTCTGCACTATTTTTAAGTCATTATTCAAATAAGAATAATTTGACTAATCAAATAGGCTACTACTAAGTTTTGTAAACTAAAGTGTTCTGCTTTTTTCGCCCTTGATAAAAATGTGTTCAATTAGAATTATATTGTACTAATGATTAAATAATTGGTTTTGTTAATCATGAAATAGTTTAATTATTAATAATTTTAATAAATGAGTGTATGTAACCACAGTTATGATATTTTTTTATGTACCAATTCAAGGTTCTGTGCATTAAAGTACATGATATCTATGAAATCGTGAAATCATGTTATTGAATGCAGTATACTCTAATGTATAACTATGAGAAGATATAATTGATAGTAAGGTGGCATTATTATTATTATACATTATGAATGCATTTTAAGGCATAATAAGATTATAACATTTATAGTTCATTTCATACAGTACATACATGTATGCTTCATCAAATGTGTTACACAACCACCTGACTGCATTAACACACATGCCACAACCGAGCTGCAGTTAATGTTTTTTTCTTCTTTTTTCAGGGACGCTTTTGTTCTGGCTTTTATTAATAGTGGCACCAGTTTCTTTTCTGGTTTCGTGGTTTTCTCCATCTTGGGTTTCATGGCTTCTGAGCAAGGTGTGGACATCTCTAAAGTGGCTGAATCGGGTAAGAGTCTACAGTCATTTACTTCAATACTGGTGACAGATTATGTATGTACTATATTGGAAGACAAACTTATGTATATTTTTAAAGCTTATTCATGTGTGTGCCACCCAGCCCTGATCTTAGTACCAGGCCTGAAACAACGTGCCTCTTAATGCAGGTGTTCAATAATTCACTTCTACTTGTTTTTAGTGCACATAAGCATTTCTGACCTGGGGCTGGTTCTTGTAAATCATTTATGAGATCAATATTTAATGCAAGAAAGATCTGCTGAAAATGAATGAAACATGCATTGTGTGAGTCATGAACATATGTGCTATGATGACGATATTCTATTGTAAATGAATTTCAATGCAGTGTGATATGTGACTTGTATTGTGTATTACTGTAAATGTTTATTGTTGGTTTGACAATATCACTGAAACCAGAATATAAATGAAGAGCGTGTTTATATTTATACACAATGCTATTTGCTCTTAGTCATATTACTGTGAAAGGGAGCAGACAATTAGCAGTTTGTTTTATGTGTGTGTGTGTTTGTGTGTGTATGCATACTTTTTTGTGTGTGTTATAAGTTTATAATGGTAAATAACAGATAATGGTTCATGAATTAACACAGCTGTATGTCACTCATTTTTGTATTGGGTAGAATAATGTGTGTGTGTCTGTCTCTATTCTGAATGAAGGTGTGTGTGTGTGTGTGTGTGTGTGTGTGTGTGTGTGTGTGTGTGTGTGTGTGTGTGTGTGTGTGTGTGTGTGTGTGTGTGTGTGTGTGTGTGTGTGTGTGTGTGTGTGTGTGTGTGTGTGTGTGTGTGTGTGTGTGTAAGTGCGTACGTGTGTGTGCGTATGTTTGTGAGTTTTTGCTATCACAATTAGTGCAGTCTTCTTCCTGTATGCTGTGTACTACATGAACACAAACACTTTATGAGGACTACATGATTCCCAGAATGCAATCCCTCGATTTGCACACATAAAAGCAGACATTTATTGCCATCTCAAGTTTAATCTTATGTTTATGTTACCTATAGTGAAATACTGATGATTCATCACAGACTAGACTAACGGCATGAATTTAACGCTCATCTGTGACGCTCACGCATGCAGAGGTGTTACTGTTGCTCATAACACATTGGCCTACATGTTTCACATTTAAAGTGTGAAAACCAGGCCATCTGTCACATATATTTTTATGAAGTTATCACTAATGATCTGTACATAACATGACCATCCTCCAGAAATGGCACTAGATTCATGTCTTTTTTTACAAAAAAGAAATATATGCATAAATGTCTTTATAAGATCTGTTGCATAAAGAACAAATATAATCGTTTTTCCCTTTGAAGATTTCGGAAACGTGACGGTTAGTTGAAGGTCATTTATGTTTTTTAGCCATCTTCTGCATACACTGATTTTTTTTTTTTTTAAGAAAACAAAGGTTATTGGGAGTATATGTTTTATTAGAAAATTCTGTTCAGTCTTTCTACTTCAAAATTTCACATTTAATTCAATGTGTTTCTTGTTAATAATTTGTGAAATTTACTATTATTACTCATTTCTGAGTGAAAATTGTTTCAAAGCAAACTATATATATATACTGTGTATAACTTTTCTATAGACTCATGGACATTCGTGACATTTAAATCCTTTAAATCTTTATTAAGAAACTATTTTTAATAAAGGCTTGCTAATACCATTTTTTCTCTTTTAAAAAAAAAACAACACAACCTGGTCATTTGCAACATTTTACAATCTGGCTGTTAGAAATGTGTGAACATCACGTCATGCTCTGAACGGAGTTTTCTGTAGAACTAAAGATGATATTTGATAGAAACTTTAGATTTACTGACTCGTCGGCCCATCATCTGCATGCATTTGCATTTAACAGGATTTTTAATCAGTAAAATGAACTATATCATAATGAATCTTTGGGCATGAAATTTAAATTATAACATTGATGTGTACAAAAATTAAATGTATCAAAATTAAATAGTTTAACCTTCTAAGCATATGAATTAGGTATGAAGAAATCTAAGACTCCCCCTAAATAAACCTCAGTAGACCTGGTTTAAAATTGTACAGTTTTTCACTTGTTGCTGAGCTGCATTTTGTGTTACTGGTATTACTCTTTCTCCTGCATAGTAAATTAGTACTGTCATTTTAAAATCAGTTTGAGCTTGCGGCGGCACAGAAGCAGTGCACTGGTGTTGAGGCTCAGTAAAGGACAGCATGTTCTTGGCCTGAAGGAGAGACTGTGCAGTAGACAGAAAGACTAAATGACTATGAAGTGATAATATTTTTGAATAACCTGGCAAGATGCCACTGACTTCATACAAAGTTGACCCTCACGTCCTTGCATTTAATGAATTTTCGTATCGCAGCTTTGATGTGTTGTTGATATCCTACCAGTGACCTGCATGTTTTAAAGGGGTCAAATCATGAGGGATCACATGTCCTTGCCCTTTTCACTAGGCTTTTCGTAATGCCAAGTTAAGTTTAATGTAAATATTAACAAATTTAATTGAATGTAGCTAGTCATGACTGGTTTAAACACATAGAAGAGATGGCATTTAAATCAAGTCAAGTCACATTTATTTAGCAGCTTCACAATGTTTCCATCCACCTATTTTTATGCAAATTTTGGGTTAGCGGGGAAAAAAACAAACGCTAAGATGCACATAAATTCTAAAAATGCTCAATTGAGGTGGAACATTTTTCATCCAATAAGAAGACATGCGCATAAACTAGTGTGGAAACGTGTTTATAAATCTCTCAATGCGCAACAAAAAACGTACATGACTTTGCCTCAACAGAGGATGTGATTGCATAACTGGACTAACCAGCGGATCAGTTTCATTGCACAGCATCTCAAATGATGGTTTGGTCATTCTGAAATGCCTGAGCCAAAGTCTGTCATCAAAATGATTTGGTTTAAAAAACTACTGTCAGGATTTACTAAAGAAACGCAGTGAAAAATGAGCGCTGAAAAGGACACGGGTATTTTTGTGGCTGACCTTATGACGCAAAATTTACCTTTCAGACGCAAAATTTATGGGAGGAGAGAGTATTTAAATTAATCATGCAAGGTTATTTACTAAGGTAAAGGTTTAAGGTTTGTGCTTGTTTGCGCCATTATTTACCACTCAAAAAAAGCATGTCTTATACCAGACGCTGACGATTATCTTTTCGATTATCAAAGGACGATTATCCGGCTGCGTCTGTGTTCTTTAATTCGCGTGACTCTCCACTCCCATCGGCACTTTTATGGAATTGCGCTCTCACGCTAATGTTTGGTAAATCTGGCCCAACAAATACAATTTCAGCTGTAAAGCAGGCTAAGCAGCTCTAAAAAGATAATATTATGTCATTATTTAGCTCAATTAAGTTCAATGATTTTCATTTTAGGATCCTTGAATTTCAGGAATTAGACACCCAAACTATTGCTACTGAAAAAAAAAGATGAAAATAATTATGAAATATGATGTTTTCAGAACAAAAACATTATGAACGAGGGAGAAAAATATGATATGACCCCTTTAAGAATACATCCAGAACGCACATATGCACACACACACAGACATGTTTTGAATGTGTGTCTGTCAGAATGAGTGAGAGTGTGTGAAATCTCATCTGCGTGTGTGTGTGTGTTGGTCCTCGTCTTCTAGTGTGTTGTCTGTGTCAGTATGATGTTTAGAAACAGATCCTAAGGTCTAAATGAGTCTTTTTGTGTCAGTGGGTTTGTGTTGTGATGTCCGAGTGGGTTGTGATGTGCTGTACTTCCAGACAAATTTGAGAAGGAAACCATTGACACATTGTTTGTGGCTTTTTCTTATTTTTCATTTTCCTGCAGCACACAATCGGATGACAGTTACAGTTAGAAAGCGAACCAGATTCCCCGTCATAAATTTGATGCTTTGACTAGTTTTCCTTGATTGTCTTCAGTCCCGTATATATATATATATATATATCTTGTGATTCATATATATTCATTTATATCTCTATATCTATATTTTGGCTTTTTTAAGTATTAATTTAAGGATTATTTAACCAGGAACTTTGCCTCTTGAGATGTGCACATCTCGATTTCAAGAGGGGTCCTGGAGCAGTCTGCCAACGCAGGTAAACCTCTGATATCTAATGTTAGCATTTACACCACTACTACAGCCCAGCCCTAAAGTCAGCACCTACGAGCGTCTGCCGACACAGGCAGGCCCGACATGCACAGCGTAGCCTAGCGCCATTTCACAATTAGGGTCATCCATCTTGAGAGACAAAGCCAAAGTGTGGAAAAGCTGTAAACTCAGTCTGTTTTAACCCCAACACAATAGAAACATGCTAATGTCTAGCACTAACATTCTCCAAACTTTTGTCAGCACAAAAACTTCAGTGCAGTTCAGTGTTGAATCTCATAGAACAGTCACTTGACGTTAATATAAGACACATCCTTCTTCTGGCTCTTCACCTTGTATTTCCATTAAATTTCCCTGTATCGTGGTTTCATTTATCAGCCATCAAATTAAAAAATATATATTTGTTGTTAGGCTTGCCGCAATTATTGATTAATCATGGCTATTCGATCTAATCAAAGTTAATTGAGGTAATCATAGTGCAGTTTATATTTCTATCACATTTTGTCAAAGAATAAATAAAAAAAACACTGTTAAGTAAACAAAGATAGTCAAAGGTCATCCCTCATACTAAATGAGGGTTTGTGGGTTTAATCAGACTATATTATATTATTATTATATTATGTAGGCCTATTATATAATTCCAAGTAAAACAATAACATAATAGGCTTACACTGTAAGTGACATAAACGCAACAGAATTGAATTATTAATCGCAATTATTTGAATGACAATTAAATGGGCTATATGCAGAATTCAGAAACCCTTGTTATTAGCGACACCGGTGGCCGTTAATTGAACTGCAGCAAACAACTATTGCTTGTGCTCGCACTCGTACACAAGTAACGTAGGCCTACAAGTGAGAAGAGACTGAATGTGATTCAAGGCCCCTATATACTTACTGCAATTTTCTTTTTCGCTCATCGATTAGTTGTAACATTTGGAAATACCTTTGCAGCGATATACTGTTAATGAACATCCCAACTCCTTCCACACTGCTGAGAGCGACGTTTAAATGAATGTGTAAATATGTGCTGTGCGCTTTCCTCAATAACAAAATAAACACTCAACAAAATGACAGCAGTGAGAAAGCAGCAGTTAAGAAACCAACTGATCACAGTGATGTGGATATGTTTGCACAAGCTCTGCAATTCATCGGCATCATGTCGACAGATGAGGCATACGGTGGCCGAGAGAGCTCAACGCGCTGATTTCACGCAGCCGCCATTTTGAAATGGCTCCGGTGGGAAGAAAACCGGAAGTGTCGCCTTTAATCATAGGAGAGTCGCGAATCCGATGGCGTATTGTTGTGTTTAATGTAGAAATTAGTTATTCTAAAAATGTACATACATTTCGTTCATACTTTAGACTATACACAGTGAAAATCATTTATAAATAAAATTATTTTTTTAGATATAATTCAGAACGTAAAAAAAAGAAGCAGGAACGAACTATATACATATCCTATATTGGATATTAACATCCAATAGTGTAAATCGTGGCAGCAGCTTCAGGTTGGTAGTCCAAGGCATTGTTGTCTATCTGTACTTCCGGGGTTCTTCCCACCGGAGCCTCGCTTTCGATTTCAAAATGGCGGCTGCGTGAAATCAGCGTATTGAAGAAGACACATGCAAATAGAAAAAAACACCCTCAAATTAAGAAAACATCTTCATCAGTTTTACAACACATGTGTGTTTCAAATACTCACAACACAACCAAATACAGAAACGCGCTGCAAATAGCACAGACCACAACGCTCTCTCGACCGCCGTAAGGGTGATTAAAATTACACTGTTATAATAGTTTGGTTATGAAGTATATTTGAGACTTCAGACTCAAGACTTTATAGACGCTAACAATTTTTTCTACTGGCCTGGTTGGGCCAAAATTGTCACTGGCCTCACAAAAATAAAAAAAATAAAAGTTTGGCTTTTGTTGTTTTGACCCATGTAACATTTTATTCTAATAAATAAGCCACCAAAATTGTAGATACCGTTGAAATTTCACAATTTCAATACCCCAGCAAAAACTACTAGCGTAAATAATATAAAGTAAACATTTCTAAAGAGAAAAGTGTGTCTTCAGTAATAAAATAAGAACAAATAAACAAATTACAAGCAACAGCTCAAAAAAAAAAAAGTATTTATACAAATAAAAAAAAGAATGCTTTAATGTTTTCAGGTAAGTCTAACAGTATTCTGGTATAGAAACTGAATAATCAAACATAAAATAACACTGCATAGTCTTCACTTTACTATAGATTGTATGAATAAAATATAATTAATAAAATATAGATATTATAAATTAAATGTGGATTAAAAAATCGCTTAATTTAACAAGGATTAATAGATTACTCCTTGTTAAAGCTACAAAAAATATTCATTCAAGAGCAGTGAGTGATTTTCTCTGTCTTTTGTTTGATTTTATTTAAAAAGACACAGACGGCAGCAGGATTATTAGGCTGCTGTCACTTTAAGACCGAATGCATGGATCCAATATACTGTTACACATGCATTTTCTCATCTGTCTATGTTCAAGTAAGACATAACCGATAGTGTTTACCTGCATACTCCCAAGATGGGCCTTTTGACACTTTGTTGTGTGTATTTTTCCGTTCAAGTGCATGTAGACGCAAAAGAGAGCTCAGTTCAGTGCCCGCGAGCTGTTTTCTGTGCGCGCACACACTCGGCTCTCTGTGTGTACACACAGAAAACAGTGTGCGAAAGTTCTCTTTCACAGCTTCTTTCACTTGAATCTAAATGGTTAAAAATCGCGTGAATGTTTAAATTGGCCTGACTTAAAAACAATTTCAAATGATAAACTTTCGTGACAATGCAGCACTGGCGATCGGGCAAGTTACAATTCCATCAACTGTCCTGAGCGTCTTTCACACTGACACCGGGGAGTCCTTACTGTCAAGCCCAGTAGATCTGGCTATCTGAGACTCTAGTTTACATGAATCCCCTTCTTTGTATGACACATTGAAATTACAGTACAGAATGGTTGTTTAGGTATTATCCTGAACATTGTATGAGCATTCATGAACGGAAGAGAGGCTCTCGGGAGCTCACATAAACGTCACATCCTTTGGATTTTCCCCGCAAAACCGTCCTTTACATAAAAATCAGTCTACAGGCTTCCATAGGAGGTCGGGGAAGATCTCGTTTTTGAAGTTTCGTTACAAGCTTTAGCAAATGACAATACAAAAAGCGATTAATACATGAAAATTCTTACATATAGCTCCTTTAATTGTCCGCACAGAATTCATGATCATGACAGGCATATTTATTGTAAAGTCATGTAAAAACAGTGTGTCGTTGGCAATATATCGCCGGCAATGCATGAATTTCCCACCTCTACAGTTTCTTAAAGGGGTCATATAATGAGAAATTCAATTTTACATGATCTTTTGACAAAGCAGTTTGATTATCTATGAAAACTGTCAGAATCCAGTCCAGAATCTATTAAAACTAGGCTGTAAAAATAACTCTTTCTGAACTCAACACAACTGACACATCAATGACGCTTATAACATGGCACATCCAGTCATAATAACGTAATAATGACAAAGTATGATATATATACTGTCATTCCTAAACACCTGAAGAGCTAACTAGAGTAAAATATACAGAAAATATGTTAAACCATGTGCTGTTCTTGTTTTGTATAGCAGAAAAATCTCAATCTCAACAGCGACTGATCACTGTTAATTTCTGAACAGTCAAAATGTTTTATAAATCTGTCACTATGTGATTCAGGCTTTGCAAAGAGGCTGTTTTTGATGGATGGAGCAGCTTAAATCCATATGGGAAATAAGTCCAGAAACTTTGCATCTCTTTTTACATGCAAAGAGGGCACATACATAGAAGTCTAATAGGCAAAACCAGCAAAAAAAACAACCCTTATATCATGATCGTGAACTAAACAACGGATATTTTACAAGCATTTTTACAAGCAGTATCAGTGGAATTAGATAAATGATAAAAAGTATACTATATGACCCCTTTAAGTATTTAGTTTAGCTTCTGTTATGAATAAAACAGTTAATGGTTAAACAGCTAATTTTAGGCCAAAATACAGAAATAAATGTCATTTGATTGCCAGCTCAGTTTAGTTTACATTTAATATTTATTCATTTTTGTGTCCCTTTATATTTTAGGACACTCAGATGTTTCAGATGACAAACTCAAGACTCGAATTTGTATTTAACCAGCTTTTTATATTTGTCTGACCGTGGACTAACAGTGTGCTGTGATACTTACCAGTATTGTAGCAGATGACTCTTGATGCTGATAGATTTAGACGCCCTCAATGTTAACATGCACTTACAGGCCTCTAATGAGACACTGCCTACACTACATCACGGTTCATCTCCAATGAAAAGCATTAGACTGAAATGCACAAATGCTAGACATTAATAACAACTAAATGGCTAATTGAAACCTGCCTTCAATATAGAGGAGCAGCAAAAAACAAACAAAAACAATACAAAATAGGACCAAACTAAATCCCTCCGTCCCCTTTTTTCCACAAGCTATCACTTCGTTTCACCTCATCCAGGTGCTTCTATCTCTCATACTCTCTCTTTCTCTTTTATTCAGTTCTGTCTCTCTCTGTTCCGTTGGTGCTGTATGTGTATGTGTGTCTGAGTTGCGGGCGACCTGTAGCCCGTGGTGACGCGTCTCTCATGTTTCTCTTCTCCCCGCAGGCCCTGGTTTGGCGTTCATAGCGTACCCTAAAGCCATTTCAATGATGCCCGTGGCTCCGGTGTGGGCTGCACTGTTCTTCATCATGCTGCTACTGCTGGGACTGGACAGTCAGGTCAGTTCACATGGAAACAGCTAAAAGATGGTGTGTGTGTTGTGTAAATATACTTAAATAAAACTGACATGAGTCTAAAGTGCCAAATGTGATATTATTGAATTGAACTTAATCTCAAAGGTTTGTTGAAGGTCATTTTTTCCAGTTAGCATAGAATCACCCTTGTGTGTTTTTGATTCATACTGTATATCACTACAGTACACAACTGAAAATATTTGAAAGCAAATCCATTAATAACACATCTGACTGATATTTTGTTTTTCACAGTTTGTTGGTGTGGAGGGTTTCGTAACTGGCATTCTTGATCTTTTCCCTGGAAAGTATTACATGCGCTATCAGCGCGAAATCGCTGTGGCGATCTGCTGTTTATTATGCTTCATTATAGATCTCTCCATGGTTACACAGGTTAGTCCCCTTAATGAAACACCCCTTTATAAGCGTTAGTGTCAGGTGTGAGAATATCAGCATCTTATTCTCTCACAGTCAGAGGTGTTATACTAGCCTACTCTACGTACTTCCACTCAATTTTCATTTTCCTTCAGTACTACGTCTGGGTTTGCTGTATATTCTTGGGTTTTCTCCGATACATTTTTTACCGGTCCAATCAGCGGAATCTCACTGAAAATAACAACCTGACAAGAAGCATTTGTGAGATTGATTCAGATGTGTTTTTCAAATGCAGGTGACATTGACAAAATATTGTGTAAAGACAGCGTGTTGTTACACTTACATTTTATGATTTAAGATGCGTTCACACCAGGTCGTAATTACCGTAATTATGAGATTCCAAATTGTAAGAGGCGTTCACATCCTCGTAGAACGTCGTAATTACAACTTGTAAGCTGGGATTGTTCTGAGAGCTCTTAATTGTACCACGTGACCGCTGTACCACCTGACTGCTTGCAGATTAATTTAGGCATTGATAATGTTGCCATTTTAGGGTAAAACTAAATATTGAATGGGGAATAATATAGGGTGGAACTAGGGATTTGATTGGATTGTGAAAAGTGAACTGTGATATTATTGGTTAAAATTACTTTTTGAATTTGGGAAAATACTTTACAGGAAATATAACCATGATCATAGTTATATTATAAAAACTATAATATTATCAGAAACTACAAATCAACATTTATCACTTGCGCCCCATTTACCCATAACCATATTGGAATATTATTTGTTGCATAAAATAGAATTTTATAAAAGATGTCTGTTTTGATGTTTATTTAATGTTTATTTCTAGAAAATAACAAATGGAAGTCAGGTTTTGATTATGTCCCAAATTTTGATGACAGGTTTGCAAAAATTGCAAAAAAATATGTAATATTAAATAGAATATAAATGAGAATTTTTTTAAAGAAACTTTAATACAGAGATTATACATTAAATCGATGACTTTTACATTGTGGCAAAATATTTATATTCCAATGAATGCTGTTATTTTTATTTATCAAAGAATCCTAAAAAAAGTATCACGGTTTCTAGTTAGACATTTAGTCAAATAGGGTCCATTTCAATATTAAATTTATGATTTCTCCTTATATTTGCGTTTCCAGGGAGGGATGTACGTCTTCCAGCTTTTTGACTACTACTCAGCCAGTGGAATGACCCTACTGTGGCAAGCATTCTGGGAATGCGTGGTTGTCGCGTGGGTTTATGGTAAGAATCGCTTCATGCAACGTTCTCATGTCTCATCAGTTTATCATGAGTACTGCAGGCATTAAGAGATACAAATAGCATGTAGGACCCTGTGCTGACACAAACACTATTCTAATCCCACATACGCCCAAAAGAGTGCTGACTTCATGCCACTGTGTGCAGGTGCTGACAGGTTCATGGACGATATTGCCCGTATGATCGGTTACCGGCCATTCCCGTGGATAAAGTGGTGCTGGTCCTTTATAACTCCATGTGTTTGCATGGTGAGTGCTGGAAAATACTCCCACCTGTTCATGCCTTTAAGAAAGGTTGAGTCTTTCAGCCATTAAAATGATAGAAAATACATGTTAATGCCTGTATAATGTAATCAGATGGGTGCCATCGTTCTGTATGTCTTCAGGCTATCTTCCTTTTTCACCTGCTGAACTACAAACCTCTGACCTACAACAATGTGTACGTGTACCCGTGGTGGGGAGAGGTGATCGGATGGTGTATGGCTCTCTCCTCCATGCTCTGTATCCCCGTTAGCCTCGTGTACAAACTCGCTGGATCCAAGGGAACATTCAGAGAGGTGTGCCCCGTTGCAACCATTTCACTCTTCAAACCGCTGCTCTGATTCCCATGCACTAGCTATAATATAATAAGAAATACCATTGTTTACTTAAGTGATCCAAACTAACACTATCAACCCCATAAACACATAAAGCAACAGCAGTTAGTGCAAACAGTCCAAAATCTGCAGTGTAATATAGCCGTTGGGTGTCATTGGAGTTGGACTATGGGTCAGTTACCTCACTGAAAAGCATCAGAATTACTCGTGAGAAAACCACGTGTGTATTTATAGTAACTAGGCTAATGGTTGTCATTCCTATGCAGATAGACCACAATGCTTCACCCCCTCAGTGTTTGCTTCCAAACACGCAGAAGGCAACTGAGGGTTGTGGCATGTATGTTGTGGGAAAACTAGCACAGGATGCTGGAGAAAAAATGGAAAACAATAGGGATGTCTAGTAGTTGTGATTAATCTTGTGTTTAACCGCGAAAGACTATTTTGGGGTTTAGCAAATTGCATGAATGACACACTGGCCAGAGGGATATTTATGCAATAGTTCTCTCAGCTCGTCTCGCTCGGACTAAAAACAATCACATTCCTATTTTTCAAACTGCATCACAACACACAGGAAATGTGAATATGGAAGTCAATTTAAATCTGCAGTAATTCAATAGAACAATTCAATTCAATACACATTTATTTGTATAGAGCTTTTCACAATACACATCGTTTCAAAAGCAGCTTTACAGAAAACAACTATGGAAGCTTGACTTTTTTTCTTACAATTATGTGATCTCAGTTGCGTGTTATAAAGTCAGAATTGTGAGATATAAACTAATTGTGGCAAAGCGTTGAAATGACCTTTTTTATTTTTTATTCCATGGCAGAAACAAGCTTCCGCAAACAACTGTATATTTGGTGAACATTTTCGATGAATTGTTTCACTCGAGTGATATTTCATTTGTTAAAGGAGTAGTTCACTTTTTAAAAAACTTTTGCTGATAATTTACTCACCCCCATGTCATCCAAGATGTCCATGTCTTTCTTTCTTCAGTCGAAAAGAAATTAATGTTTTTGATGAAAACATTCCAGGATTTTTCTCCATATAATGGACTTCAATGGTAGCCAAACGGTTCAAGGTCTAAATGACCGTTTCAGTGCAGCTTCAAAGGGCTTTAAACGATACCAGACGATGAATAAGGGTCTTATCTAGAGAAACGATCTGTCATTTCAAAAATAAATAAAAAAGTTAAAGTTTTATAGGCACAAATGTTTTATAGGCACAAACTCTCCTGTTCGAACTCGTTCATCAAATTGAACGAATCTTTTTTCGAGTCATTGACTCGTTCATCAAAATGAACGAGTCAATGAATCGAAAAAAGATTCGTTCATTTTGATGAACGAGTCAATGACTCGAAAAAAGATTCGTTCATTTTGATGAACGAGTTCGAACAGGAGAGTTCGCAAGGCGAGCATTTATGCCTATAAAACTTTAACTTTTTTATTTATTTTTGAAATGACAGATCGTTTCTCTAGATAAGACCCTTGTTCATCGTCTGGTATCGTTTAAAGCCCTTTGAAGCTGCACTGAAACGGTCATTTAGACCTTGAACATCTTGGATGACATGGGGGTGAGTAAATTATCAGCAAAAGTTTTTTAAAAAGTGAACTACTCCTTTAAGCAATTAATATTTAAATTTGTAATATTTTAAGTTTTAATTTTAGTCTTAAATTTTGGTATGTTCTTTAGCATTATCTAAAATTTCTATGCTTTATTTCACTTACGAAAAAGGTTGCGAAAAACAATGACCGTACAAAGAATGCAAATGACTTTGCTTTTGTTAAACGTCTGTCAGGGCCTGATTTATAAATAAATAACCCATAATTTGCACGCATTACCATGTTCGCTGTGACACCCCTTAGAAAATAATGTAGGATAATGAGGAAACACCTGCTGACACTCTAAACATAAAAATCAGAAGCGATTTGTTGACATAAAGCTTAGTTCATTGTAATCGTCACAGCTAAGCTTATTTGTGGTTGTCTCCTCTGTTTTTCATGCAGCGTTGGGAAAGTCTGACCAAACCAGTGTGGGGAGCCCATCACCTCGAATACATGGCCCCTGACACTGACATTAAAAGCCTGACCTCTCTGTCTCCTGGAACGGAGGAGAACAAGGTGATCATTTTTGAGAGTGTTATGTAGATCAAAAGGGAAATCCTACGACAACCCTCCTAAGGCAAGCTGGTTGAAGAAATCCTCAGTATTTATTTGACATTTTATGGAATTCTGCATCATCTTACAGTCTTAAAACAGCTGATGGATATTGATGGTTACATTTGTTTCAAACTACAGATCCTCTAGCATGCACATTACCAGATGTTCTTCCTCTTCCACCCGTTCAAACTGCAGTCTATACATGATAAAAAAGAAAAAAAGATGTGCAATGTTCAGTGCAGATATCGAGACTTGCAGAATGAAATCAGCGTGTCTTTGGAGGGAGGGGACAGTATAGTGTAGCAGACAAAAGTGGCAGAATTCCCACAGGCAACTTTCCTGAACATGACAAGGGTCTCTTTGCATTGACACACGAGTATCAAATCTGAGCGAGAATCACACGGTTCAAATGGAATTTTTTTTTTTTTTTTTTTTTTTTTACAAATGCAACCTTGACTTAAATTGGCCCATAATGACATCCAGAACAATGGTGATAAATAGTAATTCACTTTCTCAAATTCATCAAATCTAATGCTTCAATAAACGACGCTGAGTTTAACGGATCAGCAAAAATAGATACAGATCGAACAAATTAAAAAATATCAAATGAAATGTCTTTGCAGATTTCATGTCAATAAGTTGGTGGTTGCCAAACGATGCAAAATAATTTCTGTCGCTTTCTCAATGTGTCTTCATCTGAGACCTCAATACCTGGTGCATGATATTACAGCGTTTACTGTATGTGCCAAACGGAGCGTGACTTTCCATCTCTCTTCAAGTTTGTCAGGAGATGGTTTCGGTTGCCATAAAAAAACAACATCTTCATAGTTGAGTTGGAAATGTACCGCGAGCTCTAGAGAGTTTTTATTAGACACAGGCTGGCTTTCAAATGAAGACGTGGCACTTCCCTAAGGTGCTTGTGAACCAAACGTTGCATTCTGTTTAGGATTGAATTGTTATTCAACATGAAACACCCATTTTTTTTTATAACACAACCAATAACATCACATTACTGATTTCAAATTGGTTGCAAACATTGTTTCATGACGACTTTTTTTTGTCTTTTGATTTTAGTTTCAGTCCTACATTTTGAGTGCCAGTATTAATATGTTCTATGATATTTTTATTTTATGATTTTACAGACATTTAAAAAAAAAAGTCAATGTAAAGTTTCACGTTATCGTAACGATTCCTGTAGGTTTAACTAACAATTTACTATTTCACAGTTTGAACTAGGGCTGTGCAATATGGACAAAACAAAACAATTTTTTTTTACAATTTTGAGACAGTAGTTTCTTACACACCATGCATTTGCATAAATGATACGTGACAGCGTTGGTTATTTTTTATGCCTTTTTTAACTTTTTTCCGTATGTTGTGCGGTTCGCAATAGCGTGTACTGTATCATCGATCTTTGGTCTACTGGTTTGGAATAAGCTGTTGTTTTTCTATGTAAACACGCGCTTGATGGACGTCAGCGCTCAAGTTAAAAACTGTTCTCTTTGGACGGCCCCTACTCTGTTTTGCCGCAATGATAGTTTGACAGGTCTTGCAAATTACTCGACTCATTTTAGTTATGTAAAGTTGCTACTGCTTTAATGTTTCAAATGATAATAAGCCATATTTGAGGTTGATGGATGATAGGAGAACGTTCAGATTTCCTGCCCGACATTCTGCAGTTACTGCATGGACCCTTTGTTAACCATCTGTCCCGCACAGACTACGTGACTTCAACACTTCCTGTGGAGTTTTTTTACCATCTGATCAAATTTTGGTCAACTAAGCCTCTAGTCGACTAACATTTAGTCGACTATTAGGGGGCCGCCCTAGAAATTGCACATGCTCAAATCGCGATTTTATCATAAATTCGATTAATTGCACAGCCCTAGTTTGAATGCAGGTTGTCAGAGAATTGAAAACGACCATTTTAAATAACATAGTCAAATGTTTTCCACCGAGAACCACCAAGTTTTTTAGTTTTTTTTTGCCAATGTCAGGTGCGGAACGCTTGATCTCTGTCGTTCTGCTGTAATGCCTGTGACAGCAGGTGAACTATAGACACATAGTTGCCAAACTTTGCCTTTATTTGTCTTAAGTTGAGAACCCATGGACAAATAGCCAAGATTATACCAAGACGAACCGGCCTCATTCCGACCTGTGGGAATTCTGCCCTGTGGGAGAATCGACTCGAACACTAAATCATCGTGGCGTTATAGATGTAATCAGAATGTACAAATTAGACTACATAATGTAAGGCTTCAGAATACATTTGCACATTGTTGTAAAATAATCTGCTAGCACTTTTTAATCGTGTTAGAAAGCGGTTTTGTTTCTTGTGATTTACATACTGTAAAATAAATCAGAGATTTATTTTGTGAAGGCTATTATTTTGCTTATATGCATATAAATATAAATGATATCTGTGTGTTATATTTTACCGTTTGATGCCGTATGTACTTTTGATAAAGATGATAACAGGGAGTGGGAATTCTTACTGAAATGCAGTTGCAGGGAGGGCATATGAGACAGATAGCACATGAATCTGATTTTATTTGAAATATCAAGTGCTGCAGGTGTTAAATGTTTTAGATTGTGTGTGTAAGACTCCAGTATTTTCTGCAGACCACCCAGCTCCATTTGGTTTTCGTTGAGCAAACCGTTTCGATTTGAGAAGCCATTTAGTTTGTTGTTCTGCTCCCACTTTAAACATCTGCGTTCTGTGGGTTTGTGGAAAATTTGAGCATTTTATTTCATCAGTTTATTTACCCTTCAAATGGGTAATCAAATATTTAGCCCTGCCCATTTTAGCGGCACATCCATTGATTCCCATAGAGTTGAAAATGCCTTTTGAGAATGAAATGATCTAAGTGCCCCTCAGATATCTGAGGACTGAGTTAGACACATTAGGACCTACTGGTTTACCAAAGGCCTTACTCTTTAACCATTTAGTCCAATTTTAGTCCAAAAACTGCAGACAAGGAATCAAAGTCAAGTCAAGCACCAATTTTTGCCATCAGAAAAATGTCTTTCTTTCCATCCAAATAAGAGCTTGGGTTGGTCAGTAGATCAGTTATTAAATAGTGATTAAGTATAGATGTTTATCTAGAAAAATACATGTTAACAAAACAAGACTTTTTTTTGTCATTTTGTGTGCTCTGCCAAATGTTCTCGACAGTATCTTTGCACTGAAGGTTTGCTGAATGATGCCGTTTGTCGAGAAAATCACACATGAAGTCCTTAAAGGGAATGGTGAATAGCACAGTAGAATCACAGATGAATGAACATTCATTTATTAACTCAATTAGCCTCTGATTCCAAAGACGGTCACAGATTGAGCCGAATGATGAAGCAGCCCTCGGGAGAACAATCCAATGAGAGAGTCCAAAGCTTTGGGTGACGATACTGTCTTGAAACTTCACAGTTGATCTGGTAATACGCTCATTGACGTCTTTCATTCTTGTGCTTTGTAACACACTGTGATGTAACCACGGTAGTCCGTTTTTAAATCTTAACAATAGTAAAGCTAAGGTAACTGTACACTGTGTATGTTAGTGTCCCATCTGTCAAACAGGATCCCTCTCATGTAAGAAGCGCTTCATGCTCCACACTGTGATCTTGTGCCGATCCACCTGCCCCAATCAAAGCAACAAAAGGCAATAAACTAACTCCATGAAAAATGTGCTTTCTTGTTGTTGTCTCATTTACAGATGTGGGTTGTTCTGTGTGTGTATACATATATATATAGGGCTGGGTATCGATTCAGATGTTCAAATTCGATTCGATTTCAATTCACAAGCTCACAGTTCGATTCGATTTCGATTCTCGATTCGAATTTTGATTCCTGATTCGATTCTCGATTCGACTATAATGAATATAGATGTAATTCAAATCTCAGTCTAAATTTTTTTTTTTTTAAATGTTATTACATTGATCTCACCTAAATGTTTGTTTTGGGGTATTTTTTTTGTTAAGAGTTTATGCAACACATGGAAGCTTGATTTCAATCTTTGAATTAAATTGAAGCACAAATAGCACAAATAAATACAATAGAATAGGCCTAAAGACACAAATAAAGAGACATAAAAGGAAAAGTTTTTGGGTAGGTCAGAAATACTTCAGAAACTGAATTAAGTAATCCAATGTCTTTTAGTCCTGACTGAATTAAATACATAGGCTATTAATTCTGATTCCTTACAATTAATGCTATATTATGTTGTTTTGACAACAAAATGAATGACAGACACATATGGCTGCGTTCACTTTAAGAACTAGTGCACGGATCCATTACTGTTTCATTATACTGTCTGTCATTATACCGTTTTATGCTTATTTAAAACATAACCGACTGTCTTTACGAGGTTACTCACCAAGACCAGAGTTTTGACATCATTGTGCGTGTTTTTAACTGTTAAAGCGATATAATCCACGAAAAAGAACTTTTGTTACTGGCGAGCTGTTTGTGAGGCGGATTTAGGCTTTTACTGTATGTGCACGCAATGAAAAACATGCACGAGTGCGCGAGCACAGGATAGTTTCAAAATTGCTTGAATGTTTAAACTGGTAAAATTTTTAAAAAGACGTGAAAATGATAAACGTTAGTTACGATGCAATGCTGGCCCGATTGTGCAAGTGAATCATGTCCCGACTCCTAAACACGAGTGTGTATCGACGCCTGCAGCGCTTGACGCTTGCCTTGCTGCACCGCGAGCCCTGAAATGGAAAAAAAAAAAAAACGATTCGTGGCCGTTGAGAATCGATTTTGAATCGACCACATTTTAGAAAACGATTAATCGACAAATCAAATTTTTTTGCCCAGCCCTATATATATATATATATATATATATATATATATATATATATATAGATCTTTTTCTTTTCTTTTTTCTGAGTGACTTCAGGTGATGTTGTTTACAAGCCTTTCAAAGTTTTTCCGCAATTGAAACACTGATTGGGTGATTAAGTAAGATGGTATATTTCAGTATCTTTCCCTCCCGATGTTACACCACATTAAAGAACGTCAAAACCACATAATAACATATATCGTTAGTAATATTTCAACATGAACACATACTGGACTGAAGCAACTTAAGTTTACTTTTTTATCCAGACATCATTTTCATCTTAAAATGTATCAAATATGATCAGGCTTTTAATGAACATTTATTTGTTCATCTGTCAATCATCATTGTATTGCATTGCATTACGTGTTTTGGCCCCCATAAAAAAAAAAAAAAAAAAATACAGAGCATTGATCATAAAACCAAG